CCCCCCCCCCCCCCCCCCCCCCCTTTTTCCTTTCTCTCTCTGCCCCCGCCACTCTCTTACTCTCTTGCTCTCTTTCTCTCTCGTCCTTCCTCGGTTACAGTCCCTTCGTGTAACTGCCCCTTTAATAAATCTCTCAGTTCAGATGGCGTGGAGTCGTTACTGGGCGCCTCCCAAAACTTCTTTCAAATACTATGCCATTTTATATAAGAAACTTAAACATCTGTGAATTTTGGTATCTGCGGAGAGTCCTATAATCAACCTTCCACAGATGCTGAGGGACAACTGTACATAACACAGTTTCTTCAGTAATATTGACTGACATGTTCAATGCCAATCATTCTTATACTCCTATCTTTCTGTAAAATTTAAAAAAATTAAATATGTCCTTTTTTGTCTCAAGAAGCTGGTTTATCCCAATGTTTTTCTCTCATGTTTTTAAATATTGTATTGAATTACAAATAGGCTTACAGTGATATGTAATTTCTATACAATGACACACAAATTCAAAGCGGTGAAAGGCAATGCTAAGTGCTTATTGAAATACAAACTCCTATTAAATGGGAAGTTTAACTAAACTGTCAAAAAGGCAAACTCGAATCTAGCAAAAACATTTTTTAATGCAGAGATTCCACCTTGTTGTTTTAAAGCATATTTACCTGATGTGTGGCTGTGGGGTCCATCAGATTCTCAGTTAGAGATGCAAGCAAGGCATCCAACTCATCTGTAGCTTCCTATGGAAGACAAGGAATCCAGAGTTGTTAAATGAATCATTAATTGCCAGACTAAGTTTTTTCCATATCCTCTCAATTTATAATTCTGACTCAGGCCTGGGAAGTGTTAGTCCTTTAAACAAACAGGGACATTCAGGAGTCATGGTTATTAATGATTCTACTTCTCCATGGGGGGAAACCTAGACTACAATCTGGACTTGATGCAAATTTTCTTTCTTTTTTTTTGAGTTGGAGTCTCACTCTGTCACCCAGGCTGGAGTGCAGTGGCCGCTCCCGGCCACCGTAGCCTTGACCTGCTGGGCTCCAGCAATCCTTCCGCCTCAGCCTTCCAAGTAGCCGGAATTACAGGCATGCGCTACCACGCCCAGCTGATTTTTTTATTTATTGTAGAGATGAGATCTCGCTGCCCAGGCGGGTCTCGAACCCGCGGGCTCAGGCAATCTGCAACTTAATTTTAACCACACAAACATGAAAAAGCTGTTCTCTTTCCTCTCACATCTCCCTTCTCCCACCCCACCCCTTCCATGTGGCTGCCTGGACTTAGTGCACCCTAACAGCCTGTGCAAGTCTCTACCACAATTCTCTTAATTCTCTCTTCTACCGGATTATAAGCAGTTAGTAGAGACTATGTTTCATTTTTTAATCTTTAATGCCTAGCATGCTGTCTGGTACTTATTATATAAGCAATAAATCTTTGAACTAAATATGCCCTTCTCTAAAAACATCTCAGTTTCCACTGAATGATTTTCAGTGATTAGTGATTTTCGATCACTATTGCAATCACTATACAGAGGTCTATGTTTCTTTTTAGAATTTTAATTACCAAAAAAGAAACCCCTGATCGAAAAGCATTTTAGGTTGAGTTTGTTTTCTGGGGTTTTTTTTTTTTAGCTCAAAAGTCTGAAAGATACCTATATACCTAAATATCAACTACACACTGTCATTAGATAGTGAGAATATAAGTAATTGCTAATTTTCCCTTTTTGTGAAATATTGAGTAAAATTCTATGATAATGTACATTATGCAATAAAAAAGCAAAATGACAAGTGTTCATTGGCAAGTGTTCATTTATCTTAGTTTCCAAATTAAAACATTCACAGACGATGAACTGTGCTTTTATAATTTCTGAATAGGTAACTGTGCTTTTATGGTTTCTGTGCTTTTATGATTTATGATTTCCTGGCAAGTGGATACAGGAAAGACAAGGTTGGAAGGATTTGGATATGTCACAACACTATTCTTTTTTTTTTTTTGAGTTGGAGTCTCTGTCACCCAGACAGGAGTACAGTGGCACCCTCCTGGCCACCGCAGCCTTGACCTGCTGAGCTCCGGCGATCCTTCCGCCTCAGCCTTCTAAGTAGCTGGAACTACAGGTATGCGCTACCATGCCCAGCTAAGTTTTGATTTATTGTAGAGATGAGGTCTCGCCAAGTTGCCCGGGCGGGTCTCGACCCACGGGCTCAGGCAGTCCACTCACCTCGGCCTCCCAAAGTGCTGGGATTACAGGCTGAGCCACCGAGCCCAGCTGCAACACTATCAATGATACGTTCATGTTATTTAAAAAAATTTGCTTCAATCAACAAATATTTATTTAGTGCCTAGGATGTACCATGTACTGTTTGAGACACTAAGGATACAGCAATGAACAAAACAGGTCAAGTCTCCCACACAGCTTACATTCTCTAGAGTAAACTGGACTATGAATTTCAATGAAATTATTTAATCATTTCATTTAATAATCACTTAAAAAGTGCCTATTTGCATGTAACATTATATCTCCTTAAAAAAGGATAATAAGACTGGGCACACCTGTAATTCCAATACTTTGGGAGGCAGAAGCAAGAGGACTGCCTGAGCCCAGGGGTTCAAGAACAGCCTGGGCAACTAGGCAAGACCTCATCTATACAATAAATCAAAATTAGCCAGGTGTGGTATGCATCTATAGTTCTGTGGCAGAGAGGGGCTGATAACAGTTAAAAATATTCTTTTTGGAGATCAATCGGCAAGCTCTGAAAACCTGCTAGACAGATTTTGCTTGAGAAAACCAAACAGCCAAAGATGGTTTTTCTGGAGATGCAAGATAGTGACCAAGTCACAGCCTTAATCCAGATCCTCTCTTTGTGAAGTTATCAGTTTACCACCCCTGCTTGTCATGCATATTCTGGAGACCATTTGTTCTTGCTGAGTACAACCTTGTGAATGCCACAGAAAATGTATAATCACACAATCCGACCTCCTCCCTTACCTAAACTAAGGTATAAGACCACTCTCCTCCCTCCCCAGGGTGCTCAGCCTGGGAGCATTTGCCTGCTGAGTCGCACCGGTGCTAATAAAACTGCTACTTCCTAAAACAGCCTCGGTGTCACAGCCTCTCTGTGTTCCCACAACAGTTCCAGCTACTTGGCAGGCTGAGGTAGAAGGATTACCTGAGCCCACCAGGTGGAGGCCGCGGTAGCTAGCCTGGGTGACAGAATGAGACTCTAACTCAAAAAAACAAAAACAAAAAAAGAAAAAGAAAAAGAAATGGAAGCATAGTCAGCATCCAAGGCTCCCTGCCAAGCAAAAACATAAACAAACCCCAAGAGGAGAAGAAACCCCGAGGTCCTCTTGTGAGCCATGTGGCAAAAGGATTCTCCCTGGAGAACTGCAGCACAAAGCCTTTCCACACCTTAAGTCCCAGTGTCAATCAGAAATCACCAGATGTTCCTGGTTATACGACAGGATTCCATTCAAGGTTGTCTCTGGCAAAAACGTTAAGCAGTAAAAGTGTTCTTACCTTTAGAACAGAAGAACCACTGTCTGCAGGTGTGGTGTGGGCTGGAGCGAGAGGCTCTCTGGAGAGGGGCACACGACTCTCGTTCGACACAGCACTGGGGAAAAAAGGACAAATTATGTCATGGAGGCAGAGGTACAGACAGTATTTTCAAAGAAAGGGTTTAGGAGAGAAGCACAACAAATCCATGCAGGGGAAGAAGAATCCCAGCTGGTGAGGAGCACGACAGCAGCTGGCACGGCCCTCCTGTGCCTCAGGGAGGTCCTTCCCCAACCACCACAGAACAGTCTTCATGTTCATGTCAGACTCACTTCCAGGGAGGTCGAAATGGCAGACTACCTTGCTTCCCTTCTAAAATCTCACTAAAATTAAAGAAAAGATTCATCTTTAGCAAAATAAAAAATTCATAACACCCCAAAACGATTAAAGTTTATACATACTATCCAGTGGCAATTCAGAAACTTTTATTAAATCCTTAAAGATACACAGTAGAGGAGGACAGTTTCAAGATTATGGGCAGATTAAATGTTTCAGTCTCCCCTAATGCATTAAATTCAGAGAATTAATATACAAGATGGAAAGACATACAAAACAGACAGATCAACATACTTTTCTGAAAAGCTGATATAAAATGAATAAATGAGAAAGCTCACTGGATCAAAACTTGTGCAGAACCCTGGAATTATGGGAGAAGAGCCAGGAAACCATCAGAAGAAGCCATAGGAGGACCGGAGAGCTCAGCTTCAAGGGGTAGAATAAATTCCCAGGATGTCCCAGATATTATAGCAGAACTAGCCAGGTGAGAAAATGCCACTGCATCTGCTAGCTGCAGGCCTGGCAGCAGTGACAAGAATGTCTAACTCCAACACCAGGGAGAAAGAGGGAAAGTCCAAGGTCAAAAGACCATCAGCCACCAAGAAATCATCCAGCCCACCCCAATATCACTAAAGCGTGCAAGCAACAGCAGCAGTTCCTGACCAATCCTGGAAGAAGATGAAGAAAAACTGAGGGATAAAACCTAGACTGGAAAAGTCAGACAGAATTAGTTCATGGAAGCCAGTACCGTTGCAGCCAAACACTGAAATAAAGAGAGACAAAGAGATGAAAAATAAGAAAGAGCAGTTATGAGACACAGAAGAGATATAACAACTAATGGACACTCAATATTCGAAAAGAGAATAATGCCTTATGATTTTCCAGAAGTGAAAAAAAAGACATAGGTCTTCAGATAGAAAGTCTACCTTAAATACTAACAAGAATAAAAATAAACCTATACTTGGACGTAATGAAACTGCAGAACATTAAGAACCAGCAACAAAACCTAAAAGTTACTAGACAGAAAAAAAAAGCTTCATACTTCAGGAAGAAGCAGCAGCTCAAAGGGAAGAAGCTGATATGAGAAGGAGTGAGCATTAAAAGTAGTGCAACAGACCAGATACAATGGTCATGCCTATAATCCCAGCACACTGGGAGGCCAAGGCAGGAGGACTGCTTGAGCCTAGGAGTTTGAGACCAGCCTGGGCAACATAGCAAGACTTTGACTCTACAAAAAAATCAAAAAGTTAGTTAGGCATGGTGGCATGTGCCTGTAGTCTCAGCTACTTGGGAGGTTGAGGTGGAAGGATCACCTGAGCCAGGGAAGTTGAAGCTGCAGTGAGCTGTGACTGTGCCACTGGACACCAGCCTGGGCAACAGAATGAGACCAAAAGAAAAAAGAAAAAAAAAGTAGTCCAATATGTTTTACAATGAATTTGCTCAACCCTTCAATAAATTATTAATCCTATATAGCATATACTGCTGCCACACATGGAAAGTAACAGCATTCCAGGTCTGGGGACACATTCCCCAGACAATCCTCACAATATAGGTGTATAAGAAGGAACACACACAAAGTTAGCTTAAACAAACATTTTCCCACTATTAAAAGAAAGAATAGATTGTGGTAGATTCATGTAATGGCAGTTAAAAAGAAGGAACCAAAGATAATTTTTAAAATTTCAGATATATAAAAACAAAAAAAATTATACTATATATATATATATATAGTATGTATTAAACTGATACAGAGTGTAAAAACTTGCAAAACAATGTACTGCTTATAAGTATATACATATACATTAAAAGCATTAAAAAGATTCATGTAGTTCTTTACAAAGTTAAGCATACACTTATATAACCTAAAATCCCACTCCTGGGTATTTAGCCAAGACATATAAAAACTGCCTACTGTCTTCCAAGTAGCTGGAAACACAGGCATGTGCCACCACATCTGGTTAATTTTTTGGATTTATTGTAGAGACAAGGTCTCACCATGTTGCTCAGGCTGGTCTTGAACCCCTGAGCTCCGGCAATCCTCTAGCCTATGCCTCCCAAAGTGCTGAGATTACAGGCTTGAACCACCATGTCCAGAGTTGTTTTTTTTTTTTTCCACCTATCCAAATTCCTAAGAACCTTGGACAGTCATGCCTGGTAAGGACTCACCAGATAGGGTTTTATTACCTATATACTAAAGTTTGTTTTCCAACCTGACTCTCTGGCATACCATTATGTAACAAATAAAGAAGGAACTCTTAAGTATTTTATGGCTCTGCACAGCCTTCTCTTGGTGATGTCCAGATTCCAGGAACCTTGTAAGATACTTATCTATCCTCTCTAAAGACTGCCACATATAGGACTCAACTACATGTCAAGAAGCCTGGAATTTTTCCACCCCTTTATCTCAGCAAAACATCTTCTCTACTGATTTCCAAAATTCCTTGCATAGGAATTACAAATTACCAGTCAAAAAGACTTTTGAATCCACCTATAACCTACAAGTCCCCACTTGGAAACGTCCCTCCTTCCTGGGCTGATCCACCTACAACCTACAAGTCCCCACTTGAAATAGGTACTGATTTATAGTTTTTGTAATGTCAACCTTGCTAAAATGTATGCAACCAAGCTACCAGTCAACCATAGTGGACACAGATTCTTAGGACCTCCTGAGGATGGGTGTTCCTAGGTCTAAGGTCACTCATATTGGCCAGAATAAACTATCTTAAAATATTCTACAGAGTTTGGCATCTTTTCATCAACAATAATCACCCCAAACTGGAAAAAACACACATTTTTCACCTGGTAAGTGCATGAACAAGCTGTGCTTCTTCCATACAGTAGAATATGTTAGGTCACACACCCAGCAAGGCCTCCAGAATGTTAGGTCAGGCCTGCTAGGGGTGTAGGTGTGCCTGGTGTGTGACCCAGTGCCATATGAAAGATGCAAAGAAATGCACAAAAGTTGGATTGGAAAATATAGTTTATTTAAAAACTAAATTAGAAAGAGAAGGCCGGGCTTGGTGGCTCAGCATGTAATCCCAGCACTTTGGGAGGCCAAGACCAGCCTGGGCAACTTGGCGAGAACCCATCTCTACAATAAATCAAAAATTAGCCAGGCGTGGCAGCGTGCACCTGTAGTTCTGGCTACTTGGAAGGCTGAAGTGGAAGGATCACCGGAGCCCAGCAGGTTAACGCTGCGGTGGCTGTGAGCCTGCCACTGCACTCCAGCCTGGGCGAGGGAGTGAGACTCTGACTCAAAAAAAAAAAAAAAAAAAAAAAAAAGAAAGAGAGAAAGAGGAGATTCACTTCCCCAAGGTAGGGGAGGGGGCAAAAGCTTAAGAAAACATAGCTCAAAAAGCCCACGGCCACACCACAGCTTAGCAAGGCAAAGGCTACTGGATGCTCATGGTAGAGTCCTTTTAACTCCTCCCCTTGATGGGGGAAGCTCATTAAGGTAATTGGGTGGTAGCCTGCTCCACGTCACCACGAAGGGGCAGGTAACCACAGGTACTGATGTCAGGTAATGGACAGCAGGCAGATAGGTGAGTTAGTCACAAGATTGCTGCCATGGTGGTCAGGCTAGATGAGAGGAGATATGGGAAGGGTTTTTTCCTGCAAGAGACCTGTCAAACATTTCCAATCCACAAGCCTCTTACCAAAAAGGTAGTTTTATTATCATTTCTATGGCTTCAGCTAGCTAAGGAGTGATCTTTGACCTTCCGTCTTAGATAAGAGACATGGAAACTGAACATTTCTTATAGATTATTATGCTAAACCATGAACTGAAAGGTTGGACTGTCCTTGTCTTACATTCGATGGAGATTTGCCGAGGGGGTGGGGAAGGGTGCTAGTTTGGCCTGCAGTAAAATGTCTGAACACTTCCTAAAACCTGCCTGTTGGAAATTTATCTATGTCTAACCTGTGTGAGATTCAAAGTGTGTCAGTCTAAGCAAAAATGGTTATGCTGAGGCAAAATGTGAAGTAGGTTTATTCTAAGTTTCTTGGGGTCCCTTCTTTCAGAATACAACAGCAATTTTTTAAAAACCCTGATTACAAAATGAGTCTCAAATGCATTATTTCAAGTGAAAGAAGCAAGCAAGAAAGAAAAAGTTATATACTGTATGATCCCATATATATGCTACATGCCAGAAAGGACAAAACTATAGGAACAGAAAATGGAATAGCATTTATTCAGGGCTAGAGTCAGGGTAAGGGTTAGGGAAATGAGGGAATTTTTTTGAGATAATGGTAAATGTGCTACACATTTGTCAAAATCCACAGAACTGCACTCTAAAACGGGCAAATTTCACTGTGTTTAAATTACAATCAGCCCATAAGGGGTGATATCCTCTCATCTAGTCTGACCCATCTGTGGGCAGCTGGTTCTAGGACCTCAACCAGAGAGGTCCATAGATGCTCAAGTCCCTGATATAAAATGGTGAAGTATTTACATATAACCTACACACATCCTCCTGGATACTTTAAGTCATTTCTAGATTATTTATAGCATCTAATATAGTACGCACAAATCATTTCATTTAAGTGGATTCAATGTGATAATTGGCAGGCAGCAAATTAAAGTTTTGCTTGTTAGAATCTTGTGGATATTTTTTTCAGAAAAATTTCCATCTGTGGCTGGCTGAGTCCATGGATATGGAATCTATGCATATGAAAGGACAACTGTATATTGTGGTAACCTGATTTTTAAAATTATGCATGAGAGCAGCAAGCAATGTCAGTTAAAATGGCAAGGGGGAGAGAGAACTCCAAGGGCCTGCCCCC